TGGAAAAATGAAAATAATTGGGCAATATCAAGAATACCAAGACCGTTCAGGCTATCAGTGTGTGAGAACCCACTATCACTGATGTTGTGCTCCCACATGCTGAGCTCAGGTCGGGTAGTGTGAAAAATACTAATTTAAGTTATTAGCATTAATTTAAATTATTAGGTGTGAGAAATTTATTGGTATTGTAAAAAACATGCAAATACACTGAAAAAATCGGTGGGAAAATATGACGAATAAAAGTTTTATTAACATTTGACAGGAAGCAGCAGATTATCGTACTGTTCCTTTTGAAAAGAATGCTTTTTCTTGCCCTTCCGTGCTTACTCACCATAGAAGCACACTTCTTGTTGTTGACTGCGAACATGTAATTGTCAAAGGAGAAACATATTATGTCCTGCACGACCGTATAACCACTAGCTATTTAAAACGGTTGTGTCTTTGCCGCAGTTTCCTAAAAGGGCGGTACCGACTGCAGTCGACCTGCGTAAAGCAACCGGATGTGCGGTGAGGTATCTATCTCCTGTTAAAATAGGCTTGTGCTTTTTGTGGACAGGTTAGTGAGGACCATTTTTGTCGAACGTATGTCTTACATCTTTAGCTATGTATTTATACAGCTCGCCATGATGCGTAAAGATGGCGATTCACGGCTTCGAGAGTGGGAGCTGCGTTCTGATGGATGAAGGGCAAATCCTTGCGTTTCAGGCATTCAATAATGATACTGAAAGTTGATTTTTTGCGCTTTCGGGGTAGTTGTGTGACTAGGGTATCTCAAACCTTGTGCACATAAACACCCATTCATATTCGTGATTCATTACCGTATATGTGGGTAAACAAGTTGAAAATATGTAAAGGTTCTAAGTTCAGGCCGCTCTTCAACTTCGCCGAATTTACAGATTTATGTCTTTCATTTGTATTTGTGTGTGCGTGTTTTGCAGAAAAAAAATGCGATTTGGCATGCCTGTGAGTGCTTCTTTGTGTATTTGCGTATATATTTAAGAGGTTTGAGAAAACATTGCCCAGTGCGTAGAGGAGAAGAAAATCATTTTTTGGCCTTTCCATGTTGTGTCCTTAATCTCAAGTTAAAAATTCTGTAAGTGTTGGGTTGCTCGAAAACGATCAAAATTTCAGGATTCCAGTTTTCTGCATGATGTAAAATAAATGTTGTAATGCTAGCTTCTCGAAAGCTTGATCTATGATCTCATGCTCAAGTTCCCAACACTTCTGTGGCATGTGGAATCGGAAATTCGCGCCTATTTTTACATTTGGTACACAAAAGGGATTTTAATCCTAAAATGTTTGCATTCAGTTGAGAAATATTTTATATTGGATTATGGCAAATTTATAATTTAGCCAGTCATGAGCATTGAAAGGGTGTTAAAAAAAAATGCGCTGTAAACCGAGTTCCGATGATTTTTTATAGTAAAAAATTATCAATATTTTTTGATGGCGCCAATCAACAATTCGTAAAAAACTGATGTGAGAATCCAGCATAATATTTCTCAGTCGAATGCAATATTTTTTGCGGTTGAGGATCTGATAATTTTCGAAACGACAGCCTTCCTGCCCATTTATATGCCACACAAAAGGGGCACGTCATGCAATAGACCTAAACTAATGCATTTCCGACAACAGATTTATTACAGCCGTTACAGTATTCATGGGTTCAGATTTGCTGGCCGAAAATTTCCTTTTTTTGGGATGACAAAGCAGCCTGATACATGGCGAACGGAAAACTATACATATGTTTGTAATTTTTTTCCAAAACACATATTGCTGATTCACAAAAAATAAATCGCTGCATTTGCATAAACCAGAAGTGTTTTTGACAAGATCTTGCCTATCCCTAAGTGTGTGTATCTTCTCACGTTGCTCACTTTAGAAAAAAATAAAATAAAATTTTTGCAAACAAAATCCATGATAATGTCCGAGCCCATAAGCACCGAAAATAAAATTTCGGATTCTTTCCTTCCCTCTGCCCATTTTCACATGGTGAAATTTTAGGATAATACTGCAACTCGAAAATGAAACACGTTGCAAGCTTAAAATTTGGGAGCTTACTACATTTTACTCTACAAAATGACTATTATTTGCAGTACATGCGCCCTAGCGCGTCATTTTTTATGAACAAAAAATTATCAAGAGCTGCTGATTTTGGAGCTCAAATCCAAATTCAGGTTAACGACATAACTCCTGTTAGAGTGAATCAAAAATTCGAAATTTTCACATTTTTGAACTACTACGTGAGCTCCACCTCCGTCATAATCATTTTGAGCCCAAAAAAGCCTAAAATTTCATTATCGTAACACCTATTAAAAGGGC